GTAAACCAGGCGAGTGCTGAACCATTGATGCCAATAGATGCTAATCTGTGAAGGAGGATGCGGTGGGAGATGAGTCCAGAGTCAGCTGCAAGCAGAAGATCATTGGAGATTTTTACCAGAGATGTTTCTGTGCTGTGACATGAACTGAAGCCAGACTGAAACTGTTCGTACAGGTTATTTCCAATGACGCGATGATGAACCTGTGCAGCCACTATCACTATGAAGGGAGAGAAAATGCCAGCGTTTGTCCTTCAGTCCATCTGTGAAGGATGGCTGACAGTGGTTAAACTGGCATCTAATGAAAACATGGCTCGTGGTCTATTAGATAAATATTATCAGTATAACTGTATTTGGTCTTCTTTCACCAGTTGGCTCTTTGCCACTTGATGTACATGTAGGTAAGTGAGTAGTGGTTGGTGTGTGCAGAACAGAGTACAACAGTGTCCCAGCCTGAGTTGACTGGGATGTCCACTCTGGGGAAGCGTGGCAGCGGTGTTGAATGTGGATGATCCTTCTCGCTGCAGAATGAAGGGCTTGGGAATGACAGCAGCTGCTGACATCCTCTTCCTCGGCACCGTGTTTAACATACCTGAGTGCTGCAGACCTGCAAACTGGCCAAACTTCTGCTTTCCTCGAGGTGTTCACACTGATGATGATGAGCTAACTAAGTGTGTGTTACTCCCACTCTTCATTCCAGTGGCAGCAGCAAGGCTTGTGTGGGGACGTAACAGCTGCAGTTGCGTCTGGTGTTTGCATTCATCATAGTTTTGAATGTTCCCACATGTATAATGTTAGAAGTGACAGAGAGAGGACTCGTATGGCAAAAACAGCTGTTCAATAAGAGAACGAGCTATGATTCATATACCAGCAGTTTGACTAATAACATGAGTTCTGCCACCCACGTATTTGTGTTTCAGAAAAGAATGGGACACATGTTTGGTGGCAGTAGATCATCCTGGTAGTTCATCCGTTCCTCAGAGCTGGGTCCTGCCGAACCCCCCATCAGACCAGGCCTGGGCCTCCGCCCTGCAGACGAGTGACACGGACTGTGAGAACCTCTGACTGGTCCTCGGCTGCACAGTGCAACAACCAGGTGACGGAGACAAAGATGGCCGCAGCTTACCTGGAGCTTTCAACACGCTTCCATCGACGCTTAGACGACAGGAGCAGCAGTCTCTGCATTTGAAACGGATGTAAGCCTTCTTGGGACAACAGGAAGTGTTTTATCTGTGAGGTGCAGCGTGGAACAGCCCACAGTATGGACTTATGCCTGTTTTCTTTACTCAGTAACAGTTTGTGTTTTACTCTGATGAATTTTCTAAAGACAAAATAAAATGAACAATATGAAGTTGTCACGCAGTTTATTATCCACAGCAACATATTACTCATGGTTCAGTGCCCATGTGTTTAGGAGAAAGTGTCACCTGTAGCCCGACTCACATGAGAGGGGTAAACGCTGCTCGATCACAGAGGTGTGGGCACAGCAGGACGTGTCTGCGTCCTCTGATCGTGTGTTTTCCCAGCTCTGTGGTCTGCAGCAGCTTCATTTCTATTCAAAGACTTTACACTATATTGGTAGCTACAAATACTACAGCCCCCCCCCTTTAAGACGTCTGGTCTTCTGATTAGCTGCCCTGTATAAACATCGGAGCCAAGAGCTGAAAAGGTGTTGATCTCACAGGGATCACGTGTACTTTCTTTGATCTCTTCGGTCATGTTGCCATGTCTAATGATTGTCCTCCACTGTTTAAACACGTAATGCACCTAATAAAGTGACCGGGAGGTAAGTGTGGCCACTTTGTTGTTAGGTATAATTAGTGTGTGTTAAGTCCTTATTGACTTCAGAACAGCCTTAGTTGTCACGCTAAAGAACCCAGTCTGACATTATTTGGGCTTTACCTCACGACGGCTTATCCTAAATCAGAATCAGAATACTTTATTGATCCCTAAAGAAGATGCCTGCGCATCAGCAACAAGACTTGGGTAGACTGGCGTTCAACAGTGCTGAGGAGGCACTAAGGAGCTCTTCTGCAGACAGTTTAAAGCAGGCTGGTCGTTCTCCCCTTATTGCTGCCACAGCTGCTGCCACCAGAAAGCTGCCCACTGGATTGTGTGTGTGTGTGTTAAAGATGCCATCAGATCATCAGTCTCTGAAATACTCAGGTCAGCCTGGCACCAAGTCCCTTCAATCACCTTTTTTCTTTGTGCATTCTGATATTTAAACTTCAGTAGTGCGTCTTGATTGGGTCTACATAGCTAAAGGGATTAAGTTGCTGCCGTGTCATTGGCTGATTATATACTTGAACA